GTCTATTTGCTTTGGATGGATTGAAGCATTAAAAGACCAACAGTTAGTGGGATTGCGTTGTTTTGACTGATGCACACAGAGATGCTTCGTCCCTCATTAAAGTGACGCAGCCTCTTGTTAAAGCCGCTCATCAGCAATAACATTGCAGCTCTGCGCTGATGAGAGCAGACGATAATAAAATACAAGACGTGTATTTGTAAAATAAAACAGGCGGCTGACAGTTACACTGACGAGATAATAACAATGCAGAACTGACCTGAGGCACCAATAAAAAATTAATACTAATTATCATGTGAATACTGCATTAACTCTGAAGAATTATGAATTATAAATCTGCAACATGGTTCCCCTCTCAGACCGGCCTCGCTTGCAGGATGTGATTTTTCTTTTTCTTTCTCTCAGGAATTTTTTAGGTCTCTGTTACACAATAAATAACTATGCATGCAAACATACCATCACTGATAAATAAAAACAATTGATTGTAAAATATGCAATGTACTAAAACTAATACATAACATTTTATACAAAATAATACAGGGAGATATGTGTTTGTCATATGCTATAACCTGACTGAGGGCTTATATTATTTTCCCTTTTGGCTGACTGTCTCAAAGCACTTAAAGCGAACTCACTATTGGTTCTGGTAAATCATTTAGAGCTTTAGAACAGCCATTAATTAAAATGTAAGGAGTTTTGAGTTTCAAAAACGTTACGTTAATAAAGTGAATAATCAAATCGACAAATCGATTGAAATCTGTTCAAAATAAAGTATTTAAACACTATTATATTGCAGGGTAATACAGTCATGTGCACTGTGGTTTTAACATTGTTTTAAATGACGCTAATGTGAGCAGGTCCGAAGACCCCTGATGTAAAGTCGGATGATTGCAGTTGATGAAAGAGTAAACTGTGAGTAAGTGCGCAAAATCCTGACTGATATCATCTCCATGAATAATAACATTTATGAAGCTATGTCCCCATTTCTTATTGACTGTAAGTGCCAAAATTCATGTGTTTTTTCTTTGTGATTTTGTCAGTTTGATTCAGTTGTTAGAAAATTGTTTATGATTTATAGTCCTATTGCACGTAATTATTGTAATTTATCTGCATTTAGACAGAATCATGTTATGTAAGAAAATAAATGGTCTACATTACAATACGTTAATATACTGTAAAATGAATTATAAAAAAATGATAAAATATACAATTGTTAGACAGAGTCCATTGAATGACTTACAGGAAGCTACATAAGCTATTGGATCTCATGGCACAACTATCTCTCTCACTCACACCCAGTCTCACACACACACACACACACACACACACACACACACACACACACACACACACACACACGCTGATCAGTATCTCCTAATTACTTTCAAACCATTAAGTTAATTAATTTTGTTCATGCGTGTACATTTCCATATATTATACAAATTTACAAAAAAACAATTTCAATCAGGTACATAAATCAGCTGCAACCAGAAATTATTTGTAAAAAATAGCAACAGCAAAAATCTATGGCACACATTGTAAAGCCATACAAGGTTCAGAATAGAATTGGATTTCACCAAATAATTATGTGAAGGAACCACTTTCCTGTCCAATAGCAGAAAAGTCACAGACAAACATAAAGCAATTGGCAATACTTCAACTGAATGCAGGCCGGGGAGGTCGCAGTGATCGGCATGTAGAACTACCTATTGGTATGACAATAAAGGCAAAGTGCCAAAGAACCAAAGAAAGAGACAACAAGTCACTCCTAAAAGTTCAATAATGCAGCCCAGGAGAGCCCCCCTGAATTCCAAAGAAGAACATTTTGCTCTTGCCAAAGTTTAAGTGGATAATTTCAGTCGCACATATATATTTCATGAGGTCAATGGGCCTCATCAAAATGTGATTAGAGATTCTTTGGGGAGGCCTTTATGCCTGAGTGACAGCTAGGAAGGCTGGATGGGTTTGATCTACCATTCATTAACAGGTCTCAAACAATAAGGCTGCATGTGACATTTCCTGTCACTGTGTGATGATACGATAAGAAACCCTCGTAAACCTAAACCCTCGACCTGCGGCGTTATCGAAACCTTGAGTGGACATAATCATTTACTCTGTATTCAGTATTTGATCCGTCTGTGTGGGCGATGCATTGTGGGAAGTTATGTATACAATACAGCGCGCATAAATTAGCCAAAGCATCGGGATAGAATCTTTGCCAAATGGTCTGAATGATTAACTGCACCAATGAATGCTTCTCCAACATTAATCAGGCTGAGTTTATTATACATTGATATGAGTTATCATAAAATCGTAAAAGTTGCAAAGAAAGAGAAGAAGAGCAAATAGCTGGATTGTGTCCAATGGGTATCAGTTTGATTGCTGTGCCTTTCCTTCGTCCTCTTTACATTTTCAGAGTTTACTTACTATACTTACTACACTGACGATACTTACTGCATGTCTGAAATAGCAGCCTCATATGCAGCTTGGCAGACACACAGGGGATACTCTGAGGAACACTATACTTGCAGTACAAATAAAAGTGATGCAAGCAAGTCGGTCCCATTGAATTAACAACATACTGAACCTTGTATAACAAAACAAAGTAAAGCCTACCAATAAAGATCAATTTGAGCTGTATTAAAATACCTAATATTTAATCGAATGCACCCTAATTCAATTTAAATACCATTAGATGTTCAAGCGGACAGTTCTATTGAACAATCAGAGGATGAAGTCACTTGTTCAATTTTTTTTTTGGAAAATGCATTAGGACATGCAAACACAAAAGTTAAAGCTTCAAAACCGAATATGCATAATACATGAGATTTATGCTTGCTCAATCCCTTTGTGAGTTACAGAGATTTACTAAATTACATATTAAGCAGATTAATTGGCCAACAACATTCCAAACTTTCTTTTGTAAACTCATGATATACAGCAACCATTTTCAACCATATTTTCTCATCAAGCACAGTTTTTGGAGAAGTTAAGCTTTACAGTATCTAAAATCTGTTTAAGTCCTGTGTGTTGTGCCGTTTTGGAAAGAATCATGTTGCGCTACTTCTGGACTGGAAATCAAAGCACTTCATACCATGTTATAGTTGACCTCTGAGGACATGTCGGCCCATTTATCACAACTGAACTCACCACCTTCATGTGAGTGTGTTGAAGCTCAGGTAGCGGCTCTTGTTTGTGCGCTCTGGTCAGCTGAGTCGCTTTCATTTGGAAATGATGGATTATTCTCCACATCAAACTGTGACCCTGTAAGCAACGCGCAGACAGAAGATACAGGACTTGTAAATATCCAGGACCCTACAATAAGCATCTCTGTATTCCTGCTGTTAGTTTTAGGTCCTGTTCAAATACCGCAGGACTACAATTGCTACCAGCTATCAAGCATGACACAGTGCTTCACACAGTTAGGTGGCAGCAGCGGGGGTCAATGGGGGTCACTTTGTTATCGCTGTGCTCTGCGGACCGGTAGCTCTGGAGGACACCGGCCTTAAGAATGTTTTAGATATTCGTAAGTGTTTAGAAAATAGGGTCTTTTATGAGAATTTTGAAGGTTGTCTTTCATCGTTTGGGCAGTTTGACAGTTTAGCTTAATTCAAACAAGTTGATTGTTTTGAAATAGTCGTATCGCCTGGTTTTTATTTAAACATGTTATTCGACACCTGCAGTAGACTTTTTGTGTTTTTGATTAGCAGTCATTTAATACATCATTGGCTTTAGTGTTAGTTGGTTCTCAAAAGTTTAAAAATCAAAAATGTCACTATTCTATAAAAAATAACCCGATAAGAAGACACAATCATGCTGGCAGCCCCTTTTTTTGCAATACAATTTACACATTTAAAGATAGATTTGTAACATAATTGCTTTAGGGTAATTGTACTCACCTTGTCCCCAAAACTCCTCCTAATTCATGCGATATTATCATGACCTGTGAGGCACAAAAGCAAACTTGTAGTAGTTTTAAGCACGTGAAGCATAGCTGGTATGTTGCTTTCAAAATAAGAGTCCTCATTATGACAGGAACAGTTCCCTATCAGGCATAGATTGGTGTAACTTATTTGCAACAAAGGAGGATAGGCTGTTCACTTGGTGTATTTTATACAGATCGACATTTTATTTTTTAGTAAATATGAATTTATGTATTTTATTTGTGTATGTTAAAATACAATTGGATATGGCAATTTAGTTCAGATCTTTCATTTTCAAGCTCAAAGATGAAATCTGATTTTAGATGTAGTTCTGCTTTTCCTCCAGTAGATGGCCTTGTTCTCGAGTAGATTAGAAACCTAGAAGAACGGAACAGAGCAGTTTATTGTAAGCAACCAGCCCTTGACTTTCCTGATTTCATAAAAACAAAGTCATTTTTTTCACTTTTCATTAATATCCAGGTGGTAATCTTTTTCCTCCGAATCAAGGAACATTAATGCATATCTTGGGGGCCAAATGAATATCAGTTTCCCACCATGACATTTTGGAAATTATTTAGATGTTGGAGCAAGATATGCAGTACCTCTAAAATCTCAACTTTATATGAAGTCAAAAGGTGTCCTCTGTGTATCTGGGCATGACAGCTCAACAATCAATTCATGCAATAATTCCTGTTATGGTCTAAATAACAATATTACGCTGATATTATGATTATTGTTACCGCATGTGTAACTGTGCCTATGAGATGAGGGTATACTGAGGATCGTCATGGTCACCATTTTCCAGTTGGCGCTTACGATCAAACGGGCTGCATGGTATGCATTCCCTGTCTTTGTCAGACGCAACCGTAACATTAAACTCTTCCTTCTCAGTATCTGTCAACCGTAAATACACACCGACCCTTTAGATTGACGGGGGAGATGCAGCTGGTACGATTGGCGAGTCCACTGTTGACGTCAGGCCTTCAAAAGAGCGGCTTGTGGGACCTTATTCCAACACCCCCCACCGCCCCGCCGCCCACACCCTTCCTCCTCCCCCACCCGCCCCGTTCACCCTCCCAGTCCGAAGAGACACACGTTATCTGGGAGGCAGCCGAGGGGCCAGTCATCTCCTCACATCTTTTCTGCATCTAGCACAATCCCCTTCATCCGTCCTGTATGGTGGATATTATTTTCAGCTCTTCTTTCTTGGGTGATATGGGGGATCATTCCAAAAGTAAGTAGGCTGAAGGTGGAGTTGTGAGTCGTAGACTGTGTTTTCGTGCCGGTGGCGTTAAGGGCTATATATATGTGTATATTATATATACATATATATAGACATATTTATAGACTCAGCAGGTCACCGACCACTTAGGTTATTTTCTTTATGCTGCAACGGGGGTAAGAAGCCTTTTTCTCTGACTCCGCTCTTTGGAGGCACTTTAAAAAACAAAGAAGTGAAACAACCTTTGTTTGAAGAATACTGAAAAAAAGTCCCCATCTGTTACATAACAGTAAGACTTGTCCGTTCTGCAAAATAGAGAAATTCTCTGCAAAACGTACTAACTTACTCACTTTTTTTTAAAACTATCAACTTCTGCAATTGTCCACGTGTTTATTTGGCCGTGTTTCAGCTTGTGCTTTCAACGGTGTTTGTCTCTTTGCAGAGAAGTCAGGATTCGCAATGTGCGTAGGATGTGGAAGTCAGATTCATGACCAGTACATACTGAGAGTCTCCCCCGACCTGGAATGGCACGCAGCCTGCCTGAAGTGTGCAGAGTGCAGCCAGTACCTGGATGAGACCTGCACTTGTTTTGTCCGGGACGGCAAAACTTATTGCAAAAGAGATTATGTAAGGTAGGAGTTTGGAAATGTTCTCTTCATGTAGGCTGGACTCAGTTTAATAGCATCCGATGTAAATGAAAGAGATTTAAATACGTTGGCGAACTAATGGTCAAAGTTCATTTAAAAAAAAAAAAAAAGACTAATTTGGACATAAAAAATAGAAAGCATTATAGAAAAGTATTGTTTACAATATTATATAAAAAAAGAATACGCTATCCATAGTATTTTGTTATCCACTCAAATAAAAAATAAGTTTTCGCAGTATTTCGATACTAACTCCCGAGTTGTTATCCGAATGATTTCTTCGTTGTTACTCCCTTCGCATTTCTTCGTAGATTTTTAATTCTCTGACCCCCCCCTCCCGCCCTAAATGTCCAGGCTGTTTGGAATAAAATGCGCAAAATGCAACCTGGGATTCAGCAGCAGCGATTTGGTGATGAGAGCCCGGGATAACGTGTACCACATCGAGTGTTTTCGGTGCTCGGTGTGCAGCAGGCAGCTGCTGCCGGGGGACGAGTTCTCCCTGCGGGAAGACGAGCTGCTGTGCCGGGCGGACCACAGCCTGCTGCTGGACCGGAGCGCCGCAGGAAGCCCGATCAGCCCCGGACACATCCACTCCAACAGATCGCTGCACCTGGCAGGTCGGATTATTATTATTACTATTATTATATAAATAGTATTATTTTTTAATGTCATTTTAGAAGGTGTCACAATTCCTTATAACAACAGAAAATCATAAAATAAAATCCCTTTAAATAAATTAAATAATAAAATGAAATAAACTGGCGCAGTTGACGACTAATTAAACATATAAAAACTGAGAAACTGAAAAACTGAAAAAAAATTGATTGCTCAAGTCTAGAAAAATGGAAATGGAAATAAATCAATATCCGGTTCGTATTTTTTGTCCTTTAACGTCCACATCATTTGCTTTGTGGCTGTTCGGCTCGCTGTGTCTGTGTGCAAAGTGTCGGATAAGATGTTTCTTTAGGCTAATTTCATAATTGATCCCATTAGCTTTTACCTGCTCTGTTGCCATTATCTGAATAATCTGCTTGGCCTATTTGAGTTGCGACTGTTCCAGGGTGCTTGTGCTTGTGCGCCTGTGTGTGCGTGTGTGTGTGTGTATGTGTGTGTGTGTGTGTGTGTGTGTGTGTGTGTGTGTGTTTGCAGAGCTGTCATCCTAAGGGCGCCTGCCAACAGAAAGAGAACAAAGCAAATGAGTGAATAATGTTCACCAACTTCCTGCTGTAAAGCGCTGCAGACCAGTCCAGAGTTTTTTCTCACTTTTATTTCTACAAATCCAACAGTTGTGTGACGTGGCCTTTAGATGTCGCAGATTAAGGCTGAGAATAGACAGCGATGCAAGACTTGAGTTTTTAATTTACAAATGTAAGGTTTAAAACAAATTTAATTACGTCCAGTTTATGTTTAGGCTTTCGAAACAAACACAAATCCCATTCACGTCTAAATGGAAACATTTCGTTGTTATGTCAATGCAAAATAGATTTTGATAGATTTAATTCAAATTACATTTGTTGTCCGCTCTTGAAAAACTACTAAATTTTTGACTGCACATTAATCTAATATATAACACAATATAATATAAATAATTCATTCTTTCAAAGTTTGAAAGGCTTTTTTTTTACCCCCCGTTTCTGACGTCTTCCCCTCCGGGCTCAGCAGATCCGGTCTCGGTGCGGCAGGCCCCGCATCGGAACCACGTCCACAAGCAGTCGGAGAAGACGACTCGGGTCCGGACGGTGCTGAACGAGAAGCAGCTGCACACGTTGCGGACCTGCTACAACGCGAACCCGAGGCCGGACGCGCTGATGAAGGAGCAGCTGGTGGAGATGACCGGCCTCAGCCCGCGGGTGATCCGGGTGTGGTTCCAGAACAAGCGCTGCAAAGACAAGAAGAGGTCCATCTTGATGAAGCAGCTCCAGCAGCAGCACCACAGTGACAAGACTGTAAGCATCTTCGTAAGTTCGACGATTCGATTACTACCGTCATTCATTCGTCTGTTCACGTGTTTTGCTTGTTATTTTAAACCATGTGAACTCAGTTCTACAAGACGTTTTTTCTTCTTTTCGGCCAGCATTCCTCATTAGTGAATGCCAAGTGTGGTGACAGATTGATACCAGCCAATAAACACAAGTTTGTGTTTTTGTGGATGTTTGCAGCACATTTTCCTTAATGTGAATCACTGACTTCCAAACCTCAGTTCTTAGTTTACATACATAAAATGACTGCTCCACTTGGCTCCAGTGCTATTCTTTATTCAAAGTTTAGGCCAATGAATAATTAATCAATTGCTTTGGCTTCAGTTGCTTGACCTGAAAGTTAAAAATATCCTCTGCAAACAGCAAGGTTCCACATGCTGGACGCACCTCTTGCATTATGGTTCTATCTTTGATTCATCCAAAGGGGAAAGTTTTTGGTGGGGGAAGTTGTTTTTTTTTCTCCAAAGTTAGCATGTATCATAAATTGTACATGAAAACCTCACTTTTCATTTAGAGAAAAGGTATTTTTATATGAACATGTATATGCTACCCAGTCTCACAGCAAAATGTGTAGCTACGTTGGACCAACGTGGTATTGTCACGATTTCTTCCCAAAACCGTGACAATACTACGTTTTATTTGGCCTATTCATTTACATTGCCTTGCAACCAGGTCACTAGAAACTATAGTTTGTAGTTTACTATAGTAAACGGAAGGTCTTCTACATTCTCTGATAGAAGATTATGGGTTGGTATATCTGTCATGAGGCCTAAGTAATTTCAAAATTGACACTTTTCTCAGGACGCAGACAAATGATGCTGTGATTTTACCATCATTTTACCAGAACCTGCAGGGCCTCACGGGGACGCCTCTTGTGGCGGGGAGTCCTATTCGTCATGAAAGCTCTGTGCAAGGAAACCCAGTGGAGGTCCAGACCTACCAGCCTCCATGGAAAGCCCTCAGTGAGTTTGCCCTGCAGAGCGACCTGGACCAGCCGGCCTTCCAACAACTGGTGAGTTGAGTTGGATCTATCTATCTATCTATCTATCTATCTATCTATCTATCTATCTATCTATCTATCTATCTATCTATCTATGTTATGCCAATGGTGTGTCTCCATGTCAGCAAAGATAGCACAGCTGAATTATAATGATTTTAATAACGTGATTTTCAAAATAAAAGTAAAATATTTAGCATATTTTGACACGTGTGCTTCTGTCTTTTCAGGTGTCTTTTTCTGAATCGGGCTCTCTCGGAAACTCCTCGGGCAGCGACGTGACTTCTTTGTCCTCTCAGTTACCGGACACTCCCAACAGTATGGTACCCAGCCCGGTGGAGACGTGAAACTGGGCCCCTCAGACCGGACGGTCTCCCCCCCCTGTCTTGCAAGGACAAGTGCAGCATGATCCCGGTCCCCTGCATGTGACCAGTTCACCACATCGCCCCAAACTGCAAAGGAGAGTTTTCTTTTTAAATATCATTACACGGAAGGGATGGAACCAGGATAGACCCCATTGACTCCAAGATTTTTTTTTATGGAGCTTTCATTGACAAAAACTAAGCAGAACAATTCGTGCATGACTTGATATGGAGAGAGATGTACAGAAGACCTCCGGATGGATTAAACAAACCTCCCCTCAAAACAAATTTGGAACCTTTTACGTGTCGAAAAAGATGGACATTCTGCGACTTCCTTGTGATATTGTGTCTTGTTTCGTCAACATGAGCCTTTTTTTGATACATTTTATTGCGTTGTCGAGTCCCGTTGACTCCGTGTCTAAAGGTCAGAGCATGATAATCTGCTAATTATTTGTGTTGTAAAATACTTTATCTTAAGGGCAGGTTGTTTGAGCTTCTTGACCAAAAAGTAAATTATTGTTATATTATTTATTGTTAGGTAAGCAATTCGTAAAGGGATCATTAACTGATAAAAAAAACAATAAAAAAAACAAGCTGAATACATAACATGTCTTGATGATCAATATTTGTGCAAGCGCTGTTTTGTAAAAAACTTGATTACTTTTGCATTTGCAAGCCAATATTGTAGGCCAGTAATTTAATTTATTTGAAAATTCAATGAATTTAGCAAGAACTCTCCATTTTTCATTGGAAACGTAAGACATAATTACATTTTGTTGCTCTTATAGGGACAATTTTAAGCGGTAACAGACCGTTACTCCTCATAACATCAAGTCATTTCAAATTTAAGAAAAACGTGCAACCAATACAAATCTTATTCAGTCGTGGTGGCCGATTTGAGGATTCAATTCGAGGCATTTAAAAACAAACAAACAAGTGAAACACACAATCATTCCAGTTGCACTGAAAATGTTGCTTGACCGGTTCGTTGAAGCGGTCCGGCCACAATTGAAGCCCGCGGGCCGCGTTGTCCTATCTGTCCTATCCACCTTCATCTGTGCCGGTTTCTCCTCCGGTTGCGTAGCAGGACGCGGACAGTGTACATTAACCATCTCGGGGGCAAAAAGAAAGAAAAAACTACCCTGCAGTAAATTGCTCACAGTCCGGTTTGTCTGGTTGAGTCACAAGCTGGTCTAGACAGCGCGGAGGGATCTCCGACCCCTTATCTAGTCCTGGCATCACCTGCAAGCGATACACTGACTGAAGCCACAACAAACTAACTAAACACCCCCTCCACACACACACACACACACACACACACACACACACACACACACACACACACACACACACACACACACACACACACACGCACACACGCGCACACACACACACACACTCGCCCAAAGGGGAGCAGAGAGACGCCTGTAAAGGGTCACTTCTCCCCTTGGTTTATTTTCTTTCAGTGGATCGCGTTGTGCCGAGATGACAGCTCGCGCTGAATGAGCCGAGACGTGGACGCTTTTGTTTTAATTGAGCGGGAGACGCACGTTGTTTGATTCATTTCGTTGGACTTGAGAGGTGATCAGAGGTGACTTTCGTTGTCTTCGATGCAGTTTTGCGGGTTTTCTTTTTTTTGGATAAAAAGTAAGAATACGGAAAAGATGTGTTTGATGTCAAGAAAATAATTATATTTTATTTAAATCTTAAATCTTTACAATATTTTCAATGACATGATGCTGGTGCATGCTTCCCCCCTGTATTTAAAAAAACTGAACTAAGATTCACTAAATGATTGCTGGGCGTATTTTGATATTTGCACGTTTTTCATTGTGAAAACAATTCCTTTGTTTCTAGTACACTGATAGTGTCTTAATCGGAAGTTTGTATGACAAAAGACAGATAATAGATTTGTAATTGAGCTATTTCAAATAAGATAACCAAACAATGCGATCTGATTAAGATAACAGAGATAAGGGAAGAATAACAATAGCGTTTACAGACAAGAATGCCGAGCTGAAGCCGTCTTCTTGCAGAGAGATCATCGTGCGGGCCTCACCCTCACCCTCACCCTCACACTCACCCTCACCCATAACGACTCACACACGGATCACATACAATTAACTAAAACATATCACACATTTTTATGAAAATAAAATCTTCTCAATGCCTTCTTCTCAATTGTTTTCAGTATATCTAAATTGTGAGTACATTACAACGTGAAAAATAAAAATTCAGGAAACACTGAAAAATAAATTAAAGGGCAAGAAAATGCAGACAATATTAAAAAAGCACAATTAGTAATTGCCCCAACAACAAAAAAACCCCCAGCACGCCTCATTAACGAACTGGCTCAGTTGAGGTGATGTTAGCCTGTGTTGCTCATGCAGACCAGAGATGGAGTCCATAAAATGACGCGTACTACCTGTGGGCCGCACATCCCTTATCAAGTCGATGGGCGTCTCCCCTCAGTGCGTTAAACAAGAACCAAAACAAACACCAGTAATCCCCATCCACGGCAAACACACACACATGCACGCGCGCACAGATCTGCCTGCAGGAACGACATGACTCATTTTTTAAAAGTCGCACTCTTCTCAATCAATATTGACCTGGTGTCACTTGCAAACAGAGACCTCGATTTTGTTCTTCTAATGTAGTTTGTTTTAGGTTTTTTGGACCGAAGTAACAATTCCGTCTCCCCACACGAGCCCATTATTAAGGATTAGCTCTGAACTGTCTGCGTGTGTCAAGTTGCCTCGATGCAACCAGACGCTGTCGGAGGCAAAGACACCGTATCATTAATGATTAAGCGGACGAGTCCATTTAAAGGTGCGATGTGATTCTCTAATTGGCGGAGGGGTGGACGTAATTAGATCATCCCGCGTCCTCGGGAGGAGTGCACGAGTCGCGAGCACGAGTCACTAAACGGTCACTGACTGACAGACACGCGGATCATTTATGTGCCACATATCGCCCCCTCACAGAGATACTACAATGTGTATTTCCTACAATTTCATGATCATTTAAAATGTGACAGATTATAGGCGTTCATGAATGCATTAGTTTGTCTTTTAACCAACCAGGCCAAATTATATTTAGAGATTAATTAATCTTTAGCAGAACAATTTAATACTATCATTTTATTTAAAGACTGAACATTTTCATGCCTCCCTCAGGCTTTCAATTTAAAATAAAAACATATTACTAAAGGTGTAGTTAAGTCAGGGTCATAATCTCTCAGTTTATCAAGTCCTGCAGGGTAATAGATCTCATAAAGAGGACACTGTTTGTTTTGTTGAAAATGTTTAAGAGATGATAATCGTCACAATCTGTCACAGATTTATACTGGCGACTGTATCTTACATTTTACATTACCGAATTCTTATTGAAGATGGTTAAATATTATAACCACCTCTCAGTGAAATTTAGTAGATTGTTCATTGTACATTAACGTTGAGTTTAATATTTTCAGAATTTTAAAAAATTGTCATTAATCAACTGAGCTGCATGTAGTAATATTCTCTCTTTATATCACCTTCAAACAAAGTCATGAAATGTAACAAAATAATAAGCATACATGGATCTGTGAGATCTCACAATTTCTTTATGAAAAAGTAAACAAACCACAATACAATTCACGTAATATTTGTGAATATTGTATCTTAAAGTGCAAAAAATATCACTGGAGGAAAATAGCCTGCTAAAAGCATCTATTTTTTCCATATCTAATTTATTTTAAAGTATACTTAATACATTTGTCTCTAACCCACAAAATCACACACATCATCCATCTACCACATGACGGATGGCTATCGTACAAATTCATATGAGAACCCCATCAATTGGAGCTTTTATTGTCATCATCAGGATATTTATTATGGTATTGCAGATCAAGTGCATCTTATTTCATTGGGAATTAGAATTGTACAAACAGATAAACAAAAACGATTTGCTTTCAAACGGTTATTTGTCTTCCTCGCAAATTTGTCTGCAACACCTTCTGAACCCTCCTGTAACAATTGTAGAAATTGTCCTTGGACTGTTGAATTAGCATCACCGTCAAACAGCGTGTTAAAATGTGCCTATGTGTGTGCATGGATTTGCGTGGAGGCTCTGTGAAAGTTTCAGCACACGGTGACCTTGCTCCTCCAGTGGGGGCCACCAGCAGAGGAACTGCCGAGACGAACTTCAAGCCCAAAAACTCTCCAGGGAAGCTTTCTGACAGGCTGACTTAATGCAGAGATTGAACTGGGAGCTTTTACTTCTGCAGGAAAAAAAGGGCGCAGGGGACGGGGGGGAGTGAGGGGGGGATGGGGTAGTTGCACTTGGGCAGAGGCACAACAATGACTGGGCTGAAGGTCTCCATAGAGAAATGCTAACAGGCAATAGGAACAATAACGTTTCCTCCAAAGGAATTAAAGCGATTCAAAATTGCAAATGGTGTGACTGTTAAAATCAGCATCAGGAACCAGGAAACATTTATTGCCATAATATGTCAGACATACAAGGAATTTGACATGGCGGCATGAATTTAGCATAAACCTAAATAACACATATTACTTACTTTAACCTCTATGTCAACGTCATTAAATGGTGTAAATTGATTTGTCCACCTCCTGTCAGGTTTTTTTGATGGGAAATTTAAGGACAATTTATCTCAGATGGGTAATGGCCCATTTACCACATGACAATAATTTAATCTTCTCTACTCTTAGGTCACGCTGATAATGAAAGGGCAGCGTCAACATCTACGTGCAGTGCGGCGCTATACTTGTGTACTATCGATCCTGGGAAATGAATACTGCTTTTATGGGAAACTGACACAATGAGTAAATATCCACAAATTATCCTCTAAACTGTTAAAAGCACCCGGGCCATCAGGGGTGGAGGTATTTCAGAAAGCTGCATTAAAAAAAACAACAAATATCGATTGAAAAATAAAAATCCACCCTTTTTTGAGATGTCGAAAGATGAAGAAGAAGAAGGTGAAGTTTGCTGTGCAGCCAAAAAGCTTTTTTTCTTTCTTTTAGAATGATACATAATGACAGATAAAGATGCCATCTACTGTATTCATTTGAACCAGAGGAAGTTGCAACAGCAGCGGCTCCCTTGCTATATAATTAGTGTGTATCAAAGTATCTGTGTGTCCACATACGAGCACTAAATAGTTTCTGGGCCTGTTGCTCACGCTGTGTGTGTGTGTGTGTGTGTGTGTGTGTGTGGAGGGATGGTGAGCAGACCTCAGGCTCACCTGGAACACACAGAGAGCCACAATCAGCCTCCCTGGTCCCGCTGCTGAGACAGTGTCAGAGCTCCGTAAATCACAGCGCCCCACCCACGCATAAATCTGCTGCGAAAACAACACACCAACGGCCATTAGGGGAAGAAAAGGAAGGCTGGAGCCGCCCCACTCGACAATGACTCGCTATAAAACACGACGAAGGTCCACCTGTACTTTGACAAGACCAAAACTGTGATTTTCCCCAAAGAGGAAGACAAACGCATGTCACGGGAAGCAAACAACGAGGCGGCGAGTGTGAGTCACTTGAGATGTGAAACGGCATCAAAAGGTTTCAGTGAGACACTCTGGCGTTCATCAGGTT